ACGATGTATGTTTGGTCTGCATTCAAACATTGATTGGGCTAGTCATTAGCATTCTAGCATTCTGCTTCGCTATCTTATCATACGTGAATGAGGTCCGTCCCGGTCAGGTCAGGACTTGTATCTAAGTCTTCCACTGCACTATGCAGCACCATTTGTATGCATCAGAATGCACATTGCTTGTCGAGATCCTACTTCCACTGCATTGTCCATTCAGTCCTTTTTATCACATTGTGGATCCTTGGTTATTATGTACATCGCCCAACCGGGCATGTAACAGTCTCTCAGTCCGTGTTCGGTCACGTCATCACAGAGGGAGATAGAGATGAGGATGATGATGTGAGGGCACGTACCTGATCTCGGCGATGGTCTACGTGGTCAACATCTGCATGTACTTCGGTTGCTGCTGCTGACACCAACAAGTTGCTTGTCATTTCGTTGCTTGTAGAGTGCTAGTAGGAGGAAGAGCTAGGATTGCATTGTTGGTGGTGGTGAGTATATGCTTTCATTGACAATTGAGTTCGATGCTTTGGTTCTCCTTCGGTGTAATATCAGTGCAATTCTGCTTTCTGGACAGCTTTCGTTTATCTGGCTTTCAAGTTTCAACCCGATTTGCAATCTGGAATTCTGGTATTAAACTGATCAGAACTGATACTACACTCGATCTTAGCCAAAAGGCCGATCTGGAATTCTGTCATACTCATTTCACTATTGCTCATTTCCTTGCACATTGCCGAATGAATGTGTCTGACATATAGGAAAAAGGGATTACGGGATTGCACAGGTAAGGCAGAATAGACACGCGATGATCATCACACTAGACATTTTGGAATGTGGTATCGTACAGTGACGATGCGCATGGTCAGATTCAACGTGGGATTGAGTTCGGTTCAGCTAACGGAATATGGGGGACTTGACACGTACACACGGCCGGCCTGAGTTACCGCAGTATCCTTTTTTTTTGGCTGGGGGGGGGGGGGAAGGGGGGGGAGGTTAAAAGTTGAATGCCAACTTGATGTCGGTGGTCATGAGAGTATATATACCCAACACTGATGTTTTTGTTGACATCTTTTTTTTGCAGTCGTGACAATGTGGAGTGCCCATCAGACCTTATCAACAGTGTGATCGCTGGGCTGGCATCATCAGGGGCGACTGCAGCAGTTATCAATGAGTGGTCGGCAGCAGTAATTGGGTTTATTGCTGGTCTCGTTTACATGCTTGGCGCAAAAATCGTCTTGAGGTTTGAATGCCTACTCTCCAGATTCCACTTTCCGCGATGGTATTCTTGCCTGTTATTTCATGAAATTCTCGTTCAACATGCCGCAATTCTCTTCTGTTTGAATCAGAGAACGTATGCCACGTCATATGACGGAAAAAAAAAGGAAAAAAACTTTAAAAAAGAGAACGTATGATGAAATACGACTTGAAATTTCCAAATATAAGACAATTATAGAGGCAAATGGAATCAATGGCTGCAAATGTTGCCACGTTGGTAAACATGCAGTAACCCTGTTCAGAAGTAGCCTGGGGCTGAGAACTCAGCCCCAGGTAACACAGACCTGAGTTGGTCTGCACTGGGCTGTGTGACCAAGACACGCCCAGGCCTGAGTCTGTCGAGCGTGGTTGTGTGACCGAACGCTGCACACAGGAAA